TGTGAAACCTAAAGTTGTGAATATGTGAGTTTACTTAAAAACAAAACAACAAAAACACTTAAAAAACATCTGATGTAAAGTAGCAAAAGTCCATGTGTAATATTGTAAAATTCCACTTTAGTATAGTAGCCACATGTCTAGCTGCTAAGTATTAGTTCATTAGTTTAGTCAGTATTAGTATTAGTATTATTAGTATTATTATTAGTATTAGTTTCAGAGAGGTGCTGCCAATCTAACTTGAAGGCAAAATAATTTTGAAACTGTAACTTCATAGGTAGCCAAAATGGAATTTTGAGTGACATTGACTAACACTGTTAACAATCAGAAGATTGGCAACACAAAAACACCTACCAAGCATGCTTTTGTAATAAATATCTAAGAAAGTAACGATATGAGGAAAAAAAAGTAGTCAAATATGCACATGCTAGAGAAAAATAGAGGAATAAAGGGGATTTCATGAAAATAGAAGGCAGCTCAGTGGAGCAGAGGAAGGGCATTGAGAGGGAGGGAGAAGGAACAGGAGAAAGGAGGAACTAACTACAAAATGCAATTGATCCAATCGTTCTATGTACATATATGAACACACCACAGTGAATTTCACCTTCATGTATTTTCTATAAAGTACCAATTCAAAAATCTATAAGCAAATAGAAAAAAGAGTAGTAGAGTAGGGGGAGGGGAACAGGGAGGGAGGAGTAGACGGCAAGGAAGTACTGGGGACTGAAGTGGACCAAATTGTATTCCATGTCTGTGTGATTATGTTGAAATAAACCCCGGTATTATGTATAAATATAATGCAGTAATGAAAACTTAAAAAGTAAATGATGCAGTCTAAAAAATAAGAGCCCCAAACTAACTTGATCAGGTCTTTCAATGTGTAAAAATAAGACTGTGAACAAAGAGAAAAAAAAAAGAGGAAATAAATTAAAATGATGGATTAAAATTAGTGTGAAATGAAGGACTTGAATGTTCACTAATGAAAGGAAAATGCAGATGTAAATTTTAAAATATTGACAAAAGGAGAAGGAGGCATAGAACAAGTCTTATAATTTGAAATAATGGTGGCTGACTAGCCAAAATACATCATTTAAGTTAATACACATTAAACGTTAAACCTGTGAAGAGATGAGTTTTCAAAACTTGAATTTAAAAAACAAAATCTATCTATAGATTGTAGACAAAAGATCATTTAAAAATTCTTAAAATGTTGGAAAAAGTTTCATGATGCAAACAGTATTTTTAAAGCAAGCAGTATATCTCTTTGTGTAGTTATAAATGGACCTTGATTGTAAGAACGGAAGTTTCATTAATGCTACAAGATTTAAGCCCAAGAAAAATAAAACAATTCTAATCACGTATTTACCTAATAGTAATAATTTTTTTTTATTTGTTGTCACTATGTGTTTCTTTTTATGACTATAAACAGTAATATGTAGCATATTTCTCTCTTTTTTTTCACTATGTATTTACATATGCAAAGTGAACAATAGACATTTAAGCTGAGAATGATGACCTGTGTCTATAGTCCCAGTGACTCAGAAGGCTGAGTGGGGAGGATCACAGATTCAAAGCCAGCCTGGGCAACTGTAGTAAGACCGGGTCTCGAAATGCAAAATAAGAAAAGGCAGAGTGTATTTGGGTTCAACAGTACCAAAAAAAAAAAGACAACTATAAAAAAATTGAAAAATCATAATTGAAGTTTGATATTTTAGCTTATCTCTATTACTGAAAAGAGTAAAAAGTCAGAAAAAATAATTAATACAGTTAAGAAATCAAATAAAGTTTTAACAAACATTTACATAATTCTGAAACCCACATTAAAAATTTCACATGAATTTCCAAAATTGTTTATATATACCAGGATCTGAAAAAAGATAATGCTTTCCAAATGTTACATATAAATTTTTTATTTAACAACTGTCTTTTGGTACATAAAAGATTTAATTGCTTCCAACCACACCTCTTTCATACAAACTCTCACGACTGAAGTTCACCTCTGACTTTGAAGAAAGCAGGGAGAAGTCCAAATATGACTAAAATACTATATGTAATACCAGGATAGAGTAAAGTAAAAGTTAAATATGTTTATTAATATTAAGGTAGTATGCATTGCAATAACTGGTTATGAAATGGAGGCCTATTCTACTGTTTGTTCTTATGTTTTGTAAAAGTGGGATAGCACCATATAATCCAACTTTATGTTGAGATGTGTTTCTCCCTTAAAAATCATTTCATGATAAGTTTTCATGTCACTATTTTGTCTTTTATTCAGGCCTGACAGCACAATGAAAGCCCTCTCTAATGATCAACTTAGGCCAACAAATGCTTAGAAAAATCATTTTACAATCTGTTATAATGAAAATGCACTTCGCTTTATTCAGGCCTCAGTGTTGGA